TAATGTAACAAATTAAGAGAAATAATATTTTAGATATTTTCTAACCAAGAAGAAAATTACCTTTTTCTGATTTAAGTTCGTCCTTTATATGTTTCTTGTCTCCAGATTCCTTATTCTCATTTCCCTTTTCTAAACGAGGTCGTTTACGTCCTTTATAACTCCTGTGATCCCTTCGACCACCTTCACCCTCATCTTCACTATCTGAGAACTCGTTGTCTGGAGCTATCCTCTTATCTAGGTCTTTTTGGGGCAACCTTTCGTCCTTATCGATCTGTAAACAGAATTAAAAAACAATAAAAACATATCAGTTACTAAAATAAATCCAATTAATGCAATTTAGAAAATCAATTTAGTCCTGATAGTATTATCCAACTATTTCTAAAAATATGTATGCACATAAAATAATAAAAAGTAATATAGGATATAATTTTAAGTAAATATCGTTTTTTAAATTACTAACATCTAATTTTTAAGGAGAAATTAAAAAAAAAATAATAATTACCTTGTCCTCGTTATCAGACTCTTCATTAATGGCGTCTTCAGGAATTGTTTGCACTTGAACACCAGGAGCATGAGGCAACATCCTCAAATTTTCAAAAAGTCTTGTTTTAATCTTTTCCAAGTACTCTGTGGTATTTTGATTAGCCATATTGCTAGGACTTATGTGTAGTTTGAAGTCAGGACCGAAATACTCAAAATAGTCATTGTAAGGAAGTTCGTTAGCGATTTCGACCCCAAGAGCGACCGACGTTTCGTAAGTCCATGCTCTCGATACGTTTCGAATTGTATAACCGCCACCACCTACCATCATGAAGGGTAAGTTGTATTTTTTCACGAACTCGACGCATTTTCCGTGACCCCTTACGGTAAGATTAAAGCAACCTGAACAACGTAAAATAAAAAATATCACAAACAGAAAATTGTACAAAAATATCATATAAAAGCCAGTACCTAATACCAGAACGAAATGGAAAAAAAAAATTCTTAAATTACACACCTAATCGATCACCAGTTAAAGAATCTGCACCACACTGATGGACAACAGCGCTCGGTTGAAATGTTTCCATTACTTTACTAATAATAGGAACAAAAATGCTTTCGTAAGATTCATCATCCATTCCGTCACGTAGAGGAATATTTACAGCGTAATATTTCCCTTTCCCTGCCCCTATATCTCGTAAATCGCCAGTTCCAGGGAAATATTCACCATACTTGTGAAAAGATACTGTCATCACCTACAACAAGTGTTTGCATAAAAATAAAACTCCCTATAAACATATACAACAGTAAACAAGCAGTTAAGTGATTAAGATTAAAGAAGTATAACATTTTTCAGTTTTTGCCCATAGGTACATTAGGGTGACACCTTGTTTTAATAAGTTTTCAAATTTTATGTTCCCACTTTAATTTATTTAGTAGAACTACAAAACATATTTTACAACTCATTTAGCCCCTTTCTATATTTTGTAATTTATTATTATAGTCAAGTTGCCTATATTAAATAGATCTTTCTCATGCCTTCAACAGCAAAAATTTCCTTTATTATCCTCACCCCTACTAGTGCTATCTCCGGGGTTCCTCAAGACTGGCATATGAGTCCTCTACTCTTTGTAGGTATTATTTGTCAACAAACTAGTTCAAGCTCTTGAATTTTCTGAATTATTACTTTACACATATGATATCAAAATTTACAAGAGTATTGGCTGTGTATCTGCTGAGAAACCTGCACAGATTTTCTCAATGGTGTTAATGTAGCACCATGTCTTTCTAAAATAACTCGGGAATGACAATTTTAAATTCTGTACTGACTAGGCCTACGGCTCTCAATAGTCTTGATGTTACCTTTGATTTCAAGCTTAACATTAATAGTAACATCGATTTTATCTGCTACAAATCTTATTAAACCATGGGATTTATACATAGAAATATGACTTACTTCCACTCCCTAGGTTTTTAAGACACTGATGAGTCTGAGAATTTTTAAGGATAAATTTAAGATACATAAATAATGCTCACCCTGTCCGTTGTATAAAAAGCTTCTTCAACCCCATCTCCGTGATGTACATCAATATCAATATACAGGACCCGCTGATGATATTTCAAAAGTTCAAGAATACCAAGAACAATATCATTTACATAACAAAAACCAGATGCTTCTGATTNAATCATCACCTACAAGCTATCGGCGAATATTGGACGAAACTGAATATAACGGCGCAAATAACACCCCAACCGAAAATTTCCAATGCTATTAACTTTATGGAATTGTGGTTAGGTGAAGCCGAAGATGGTAATTTATTGTAATTAGCGAAAAATCCAAAAAATACCTTATGTTTTTACTATTTGTAGTCATGAGTTATCTTCAAATAAATAAATGATTTCACTGTTTGTTTTTTGTTTTGATTGTTTACCATTGGTGACAAACCAGGAGAATGATGATAATAAATCTTCCATTTTATGAAAATGAAATAAAAATTTTGCTGTACCTAATGATGAGAAATATTTAGTGTATACAAAAGATAAAATATTCTTCAAAGTGCTTTATTCAATATCGAATTTTTCCGAGTATAATACTTACAGAAATCTCCATTTAATATAAAAGTATTCCTATATAACTAACTGTATTCATTAATAAAAATATCTTATCCCTGCTTTACAAATAAGGACTTACATCTAGTTTTTTGTTCTTCTCCTAAGAAAAATTTTAATATTTTCAATCACTTAGAAAATCATTGAGAGATTTAGGTTCTTCTACTAATCGTAAGAAAGATTTAAATAGCTTCAATCACTTATAAAATTATTAAGAGATTACATCAATTATTCACTGACATACGGTAAGGTCAGGTAATATCAATAGTGTGAACAAAAAGAGCAAATTTTAATATAAATAAGTGAGGCCATATGTCCCTTATTGTACTTATACATCTTGAATAAAAATAAATAAAGTTATACTAAAGAATTCGTTACAGGATTGTCGATATTACTATTTGGATTGGTTCATACAGACTATTCTGTCGATGAATTGATAGCAATCTCTCAAAAACTTTACCAACACTTTTCTCATGTTGGAAAGAATGCAATACATACTATTTTAATAGATCTATAAGATCGAAAGATAAACGGGTTGAAACACCTATTTCAATTATATTGTTAATAACTATCATTGCTTCTTGTTGGATTATCATCTTAAATTCAACAAGTACCCATATAAAAATTCCAACTTACGATGAGATAAAACAGTTGTTTTTACCAATCAGTAAAATTTTATTTGTTAAATAAAGAATAAATGAATGATTTTGTAACCTGGTGTTCAACGTTCATTTTTAGGCATCAACATCCCTACAGAATATTATAATAAAGTTTAGTATAGGTAAACCTGAATAACCTAAATAGTTCAATCCTGATTGGTTAAATAGTTACCTATAAGTATTTACACCAAGAACGGTTTGTCTAGTAAATGACACCAGATAAAATATACAATCGATGATATCTAGAGAAAGTGGGTACCCAAGAAAGGTACTTTTATCATAATTTCAAATACTGCCTGTTATTATGTAAATTGATATTTTCCATAGATTAAAATTTATATAAATAAGATGACTGTGCATTTTTTGTTCCCTCGTATCACTATTCGTGAGATGCTTAACTAATCAATGTACCTTTATAATATAGTGGATAATTTATGAGAAACTTAATGTATAACACAGCGAATAGGTGAAAGATTTTTTTCAATTAGTAAATAATTTTTCACCCAGAAGCAATATGAGTAAATATACTTAGCACCAACGCAAATCACCCTTACAATTATAGTACCGTAAAATCCGGAAATATACTCGGTTCTTCATAGAACAGTTTTCAACAAGCTAATGCTGCGTCTATTTTCTTCTTAGTATATATTAATTGTTACTAGCTTTTTATTTATTTTCTGTATTAACTGAATAATTCTCTAGTTTCGGATTTTACGGTGACATATGGTCGTAAGAGTGGCCTGTGCTGGTATTAAGTAGATATATGTATTTTTAGTAATAGCGCCACCTGGAATCATATCAATTATAAACGACAAAGGATTGCTAGATTGTATGTTATTAATTAATATAAGTTTTTGAAGTGAAACTTCTTTACGGACCGTAGGGTAAGTTCATTTCATGCGAGTTGCTCTGTAACGAAATCATGCAACGGATGTCCCCCCTCTAGTCGGTCACGTAGTCGAGTTCGTAGTGGGGATCGCTTGAGCCGCGAGCGCGCTTCAATGCAACGTTCGTTACAGGCAACTCCGGCATGTATAGTGTAAAATTTAAATTCATAGTGTACAAATAATACCATTAAACCAATTCCTTAACCCCTATCCCGGTATGTTTGTGTGTTTGAAGAAGTTTCACTTCAG